TCCACTTCCAAGTGTCAGCTCTAACGAGGCTGTGACGTCATACGCCTCTGAAGGCCGTTGTTGTCTTCAAATGAATGCTTGGATGTGAAAAGAAAGGTTCAGGTAATTTGTATAGGGTTGTATAGGTTCATACTGTATATGTTTTATAGCAGTGGCTTTGTGAGCAGCACTGGTGGCTCCAAGGATCCATCCCTGGTTTGACTGCTCACCCACAGATGGTCTTTTTAATAAACTTAATAAACTCCAGGTTGAATAGGGTGACAGGTAAATACTGTACACCTCGTAATGTTTTAAAAAAAAGACCAAACTGTTTTTTTAAACCCTTTTTAAACCCCAGCCTTGACTGATAAATTAATCATAAAATTCCACATTACTAATAAAAAAAACATTGTTCCATAAGGCACCTTGGCATTCTGCTGACCAAGGACAAACAGTTAAACTGTGGAAAAGGCTGCTGAGTCTAACCTTCTCCTCAACTCTAACCCATTTTCCATCAATCTCGCCCCAATGACACTATCCTTTTCTTTACACTTCAATAATACAGAAAGGAAATGCCTTAAGTCTGAGGGACAGAATGAAAGCACTACGTTTGATTGGCACATCAGTCAGCAGGACCTGACAGGAACCCGGACGGTGACAGCACTCCATCACGTCCATTCTCAGTTTCGCATTGGCGCTCTATGACATACACACTTTTGAGTGGGATGAAATAACACTTGCGTGAAAACCTCCGGCCCGGATCGTCCCTCGGGCCGGAGGTGAGAGGAGCAGATTCTGCCGTCGCTGTAGCAAAAAAAACAATAGTCGTCTAAACGAGCCATCACAGAAAATAATGTGTGGTTGCACTGACCTGCCCCTTTGGTCACCACCAGCTTTGGTTTGCTCCGAGCTCCGTCACCTTTGGTGGTGTACGCTGCCACTGTGATGGAGTATGTGGTGTCTGGCTTAAGTCCTCCAATGACCATTTCCTACAGGAAACAAAGAAGCGACAGAAACAGTCAAAGTGTGACTTGAATCTCTGATGAGTGGACCCCACTTCGTTCAGCGCCAAATGCCACACGCAGAATGTTAATCTCAACCAAGCCTCTCTGGGCTCCCATTATTAATTTTCACGAGGCATGCATTAAATGTAACATTTTCCCCAGGGGAATGGGAGACCATTCCATTAAGTAATCCTCGGAGGCGAAGGAGTGACATTACATGTGTATTGGAAACTCCCCCATCTTATTCAACAACCAATATCCTCCTGACGAACTCAACTTTGTGATTAATGAATGCCGAATCCACCCTTGTTATTTTCTGGCTGTCTTTTTTTTAACCTCAGCTATTAAGTTTCATTGAGTCATCTTCAAAGAGATGCTTCTGATCAATGCTAATGAATCTTTCAAAGGAGCCGGTTTGAATGAAAGCTGAATGAGGTTTTTTAACAGGCTGGTCGGCAGAGTGATGGGAGAGGTCAATAAAGGTAAATGAGGTATAAGTACTGCGTCGCACTTGAGATGGTATTCACGTAACGCCGATTGATTGAGGTTTGGAACATGAGTTCAGAATCAGGACGCAAAGAGAGAATCCTGCAGTGGTGGAAGATCAACAGTCGCAATGAAGACCTAAAATACCGCCTGCCCCCCCATGGTCATACTATTTGTGAATAAAACCCAGCAATTCTAAAGTATCACACAAAAAAAAACAACAAGGCCAAATGAAATGATAAAAACACACACACACACAGAGAGACACTATCAAATCACAAGACAGAAAAATAATGGAACAACAAACAGCACAAAAAGTAAAAACTGCATTCCAAGCACACAAGGCAGTGGAGATTGCATCAAACCTCAGTCATGTAGAAGTTTCACGGACATAAATTTGATATTTGCTCTTTGGTAGGTCTGTCCAGAGGTAAACTGCCCAGACAGCTGAAGTAAAGCCTCTGAGCCACCGTGCTTCACTCAAACTCACTCAATAAAAGGCTGGAAGGTGTGTGTGTGTGTGTGTGTGTGTACTGTGAATCTGAACAGGTTGATGCAATGCCCGCCTTCAGCTACGAAAAAGCACAGTGGCAAAACTTCATACTTACATATTCAGCGATATCGTCCGTTTCCCACTAACCCCCCCACCAAAGAGGAGAGTGCAGGAGAGAAAGCATTAAAAAAAAAAAAAGAAGGAAAAAAAAAACAGAAGGAGAAGAAAGAGCAGAAATAGGATTGTGTTTGTGAGAGGGAGGCATCAGAGATTTGGTAGCAGAACTAGGTCACTGGTTTTGTGAGGTGAGGAGAAAGTGAAGCTCTGACAGGGAGTTGAGACAACACTGAGACGTGAACCAGACTCTGAACCTCTGAAGCATCGGGATTACTAACAACGCTACTGTGCAGCTAGAGTTATACAGTATGTGTCAACAGTGAAGACTCGCTGATTTGACAGGACTTCAGGTTTTGAGATAAGTTTAAGTTTAGCAATCTTAAATATATCAAGATATCAATTCCTTGAACTGTATATTTTAAAGGTCATTCGTATTCGGGGTTACTGCTAACTACAACTAAAACTCATTTGTCCTGAATGGCTCCTCCTTTATATTCAAAAATAGATTTTAATTAAGTCCCTGAATGAGGCTTCACACACATTTCTTTCTTTCTGTTTTGTTTACTCTATTGCTTCAAGGCCATAACATAATGACTGCTGTTGTGCACGACAGAGCCACAGAGAGCTCCTTCAAGCCTGTGTTGTCACTTTTGTATGACAGAAAAAAAGACAAGAAGATTGAGGGCCATTATGGAGGGCTACATTACAGTTCCAGCTGTCATTGTTGGCTGATTTGCCTTTTTTTTTTTTTTTTGAGAAATATGTTGTGCCAATTTTACTTCACAGGTGGTACGGAAATCTATAATCAATCTTTTCTTAGCATTTGATAAAAGTATACAATCAGAAATTTTTACAGGGATTGTTGCCATGAAGCAGCTTTTCTACAGATTTTTAATACAAAGCCGGCCCTGGCCGAGACAGAGAACGGAGGATTTGATGAGTGAAGGTTTGATTACAGTTCTTCTTGTGGGCTGAGGCAAAATAAATTACAGCAATACTGCAATCTTTGCACAGCGACAACATACTTGAACGGAAAACAGAATTTGCAATCTTTGTCAGAAAAATTGCTGAGTTTTTTTTTTTTCGTTCTTTCTTGTGTGTAATTTAAATCATTATGCTGTTTTAACAATGCAGCTTTATTGTGCTTTAATGAGCGAAAACACAGATTCAAAGGCAGTGCTGGGTATAATTACACTTCTAAAAAAAGCGGCCTCTCACTCTATCACCTGTAAGTATTTGGGAGTCCTGAGATAGAATTTACAATTTTCTAAAAAAAAAAAAAAAAAAAAAAGGAAAAAAAGGAAGGTTTTGAGATCCTCATACCTGAGCGTCAGCCAGCATGACATCCTTGATGAGGGGCAGGCCCCTCGACTCTCCATTCTCCACCCGAACATAGTGGACCTGGTAGCCACGGATCTGGCCGTGCTGCTTCCCTGGCATCAGGGAACGCCACATAACCTTCACTGCTGTGGAGTTGAGGACTTCCACCTCTACTCTCCTGGGAGGAGCCCCTGGAACTATGGGTGACAAGAGCAACAGTGAGAATCCTGTGAGTTTGTGCTGCTAACAAAGCAGTGACGTGCGGTCACAGGGGAGGCAGTGCCATCACGATAAAAAAAAGAAGTACATAAAATAAATAATATTCACCACTTCATTTTGAGTATGACATCTACATTTTATTAAGTAAATCTGAGTACGCATTTTGCGATCAAATACAGGACAGAAATCATATCTGACTGTGTGATCCAATTCAAACTGGGTCACATGACGTGTGCCCGTTTCTGTTCTGTCAAAATTAAATTTGTGCTGAACTCATCTCTATACTTGAATTTGTTTACAGATATGAACCATTACCAGGTGCATGCTGTTGGATGAATAGTGAAATAAGGCGCTCTTTTTGGTTTTTACAACTGTAAATCTGCACGTCACTGAAACAAGGTGGTCGTGAACTTCTTAACTTACACCAGATATTTTTTACGCTTTCACACCTGCAGACATACAGTGTGTGGTGCCGAACCGTAAATCACTTAAAATGGTTTTAAGTTTTAGGCATGGGATACATACCTTTATATTATAAATATATATATATTTCCATGTGAATTGCACATTTCAGGTATTTACCTTTTGTTGGTGCGGAAAATTAGGTTATTCAGTCACCACTATTGTCATCTAACTGCCACAGATAGAATGACCTGAAAAGAACCACACCTGACAACGTTGTACTTTTTACGTGCTGCGAGGGGGAGCAGAGAGACCAACAGCTTCGCAGAGTTGGCTCACCTAAGTCCCAAAGTGTATGAGGACTGCAGCTCCTTTTATTGAGAAGGTTATACAAGTACTGGGCAGTTGTTGTTTCTTTAAGTTTTACTCCCAGGGCAAAGTTCATCCGATTCCCATACTTGATGAGAAACACACCTCATCCTTTATGTACCTACATAGTAAAATACCTTTTAGGAGTACCTACTCCTGTCAAGCAGACCATTATTTAACACACTTAGATAACAGTTTATGGTTCACCACAGTTTGGTTTAACACACTTTGGTAACTGACTATAAATTCTATTTACCTTTTATGAACTGGATCTTAGACCAGACAGGTCTGAAGTTCAGACCAGTTGGACAGATTTTACTTTTATTTTTACTCCTTAAATAACTGATGACCAGTGAAAAGTGTACATTTTAAGAACTTAACTAACAGCCAATATGTTTTGAGGCTGTTCTGGATCATCTCCAGAACAAACACCATGTTATATTTATTACGTTTTCTAACCTGTAGCTGTAGGCTAACTTGTAGCTACTGCTTTGTTTACTGTATTTTCAATGATAGAGTGCTATTTTTAAAGCCAGATTTAAATTGTCTTTGCAGCTTCTGTAACCTCACACAAATCAATTTTATGCCTTTTTTTTATTCTAATAAAAATCATTCTTGGTAACAATTTTGGCCAAATGTTAGAATCGTTAGCCAACTGTTATCCTTTTCATTGGTATTTGTTTTAAATATCAGGTAAACATAAGTATTTATTTGGGGAATAAAATGAAAATTCAGTAGCTAACAATCATAATCTTTTAAATATCAGGTAAACATAAGTATTTGTTAAAATTCAGTACCTCATAATCACAAAACCTAAACCATTCTAGAAATTATTTTAAAATCATTAAATGCTTTAAAGACCAATGGAAAATGTGTAAAAAAAAATGTGGCGATTTGCCTACGACCATCTAGAATGGTTAAATATACTGTATCTAGATTAGGCTTAGACAATGGGAGACTGTGTACCATCTTCATCAGTGCGGCAGATGAGGGGCTCACTCTCAGGACCTGGACCAATCACAGTGAAAGCGGACACAGTGACGCGGTACTGGGTCCACTTCTCCAGCCGCTCCAGCTGCACGTGCTCTACAGTGGTGGACACGGCCGGCTCCTCCGTGGCCTCCATGTCATCAGCGCCACCTTCTGTTGGGCTCACCACTTGGTAGTGCACCTTATACCCCGCCAGGGCCCCATTTTGACTCCTCAAAGGTGGGGGTTGCCAACTTACCAGCAGGGTGGTAGAGCTGGTGCTGGTGCACTTAATGTCTTGAGGGGGGGCTGAGGGCTCTGGTAAGGTGAAAGGAATAGTAAGGAGGAGCAGGGGGCGAGGACGAGAAAGTCGGGGAGGGGAAGGGTTGAAAAACAAGTGAAAATAAAAAGATGGGAGAGGTAAAGAAAATGCAAAAAGGAAATTGAAAACTCAAAGAAAACAAAGAGTAATTCTAAAACCGAAGTAAACTGAAACGAAAAAATGAAAAAAAAAAGTGGGTAAAAATCTCAAGCAAACTGAGGGAAATTAAATGGAAAATGGCTCAGAGTTGTGTAATAATGAATCAAAATGGCTGCCCCATAGAGTTTGGCACCAACGGTTATTTCAGCTGAAGGCCTTTACTCGCTAAACCAATAAGTAGCCGCCGAACACACAGATTTATTACATTTTATTATAAGGCATTGAGCTGAGTTTTTAGCCCTTAGCCAGTTTAGCAATCAGGTAAAAATGGCAGCTCTGAGCACTAACCCCCTAATTTTCCCCTTTCAGGTTCTCTACAATTACTGCAATCATTGAAGCTAAGTTCACACCACAAGATTTTCTGCCCCATAATCCAGTTCCTGTCAGGTTTTGACAAGTTGCAGTTAGATGAGAAAGTATCTTCATTACAAAATGGCACCATCTGTGGTTCCATATCAACAGCAAATACTAGATTTTGCCCATCATATCATTGGATATTGACTTTAGACGGCCATGAAAACAGTCTCAGTTGTTCTTTCATTTTTCTTCACTTTTCCAGATATACTTCAACATGGCTCTTCCTAAACAAATCCTAAATCACTTGCAATCTGTTCGATTTCTAAACTGTGTCAAACTCCTACACGATCTGTCCTTCTCCACAGAGAGGTGTGAAAAAATATGTCTTCTATTTTAGTGCTGATGTTAAATGGACAAAGGTCAATAATCTAAGTATTTTCTTATTTATAACTGTTTTTGTTTGATAATAATCCAGTGCCTCTACGTCAGTTCATTATTACAATTAAGTCTAAAATAGAAGGATAAAGAAAAAACATAAAAAACATAAAATAAAAAATAAAACCTATAAAAAAAATGGCAGCATGTTCTCATTCCAAAGCAAATGTTTAAAGAAAGTTATAAAGGAGAGCATTCTGGGAAATCAATTTCTCCGAAACCTCATGCGACTTATGAAGGAAAAATAAAACATCATAATTGTAGGTTCAAAGGAAGATAAACATAAATAAAACATAATCACATAGCAAAAAAAACCAAAGCAACAATAACGAAAACCTTTTTGAAAGAAAACAAAAGAAGAAAAAATCAAAACAAAACAGAAGTATCGTCTGCATCATACGTACCTGTCTCCCACAAATATCACATTTAAAGACTTTCTTACCACCAGCACCTGACAGAAGAGCGAGCTTACTCTAAAGTCAGTGAGCTGCAACACTTCTCCTCCCACAGATCACGCACTTTATAGCGGGTCCTCGTTTATGATCAGTGGAGCATTACGTTTAATTAATTAAGATGCACTCAGAGTTTTGAATCCAATTCTGAACTACTGGGAGGAAGAGAGTTGAGCTCTGTGCTGCAGCCAGGACTTAGAATACTCATGGGTCTTTGCCCTGGCGGGTCCACAAGACTCTGATAGGGGGCGCCACATAGGTGGACTAACTGTTCTTAGACGTTTTCATGCACCAACATCCTTCTCTATGTCCAGATGAATCCCATTTCACAGCAGTCTCTGTGCACACTGTGTATTTTTTGTAAAGAATATTTCAAATTAGGTAAAATACAAGAACTGTATTAATGTATTTTCATTTTCTGAAAATGGGTTTCACTTTGGCTCGTATATAAATTAATGGTGCCTCCTGTGGCAGCTTGACTCAATTATTATTGATTATTATTATATACAAAAATAAGAAAATACTACAAAAATATGAGTTCTGACTGTCATCCCAGTAAAGATGTGTTTCAGCAGAAAACAAACAGGACGGGACCTAAGCTACAGTCTCCAAGCCCTCCTCTGTGTCCAATGGGCTTATTTACTTATGGTCTTACTGAATTCTGAGGCGTTCAGCTTCCTCCCTGAACTCCTCACATTGTATTTAGGAAAACTCTGCACATCCAGAGTGATTGCTTGGTTCTCAGTCTGTGTGGAAAGAAGTGACTCTGGATGTGACAGCGGCGAGGCTATCGCAGTGCACAGGTCTCCTCGTGATAAGAGTTTAGGCCTGGATGCTGCACAGCTTTATTACGGTACACATCCATGAAGCCCAGAGTGAGGATCAGGGATAGAAAAACTAAAGAACCACAAAAGAAAAGAGGGCAAAAAAAAAAAGAATAATGTAATGCCTCCCCTCAGTTTCTTTTCAACTGTTCCTGTAAAAATGTTCCTAAATGCTATCTGACAAATAATTAGTGATGTCAGCATTCATGTCCTTCTCTTTGACTTTTAAGTCTGCTGCGATACGACTCACGCACCTCTGAGGGAAAAGTCTCTGATGTCAGAGACCGGTGGCATATTTAATCACTGAGACTACCTTCAGATTGGAAGTGCTTTTAGCGTAGCATCTTTGCTGAATATAAATTACACCGGTCCATACTTGTGGTTTCTCTGAAGCCGTCTTTTGTGATTCTATTTTTAACAGCAGCTTGGATGTTTGTATGTCGTAGTTCATTACAGATTTAATCCCCTGGAAGCAGCAGCTCACACACAAAAATACCAACGTATCTAAAACCCTCCTGCAATTACTGTAAGTGTGGACGGGGGAGCTAAACTGCTTGTTTGGCTAAATGCAGAGGATTTAGAATCCCTCACTTTCATTTGAGCGATAGCTCTTGACTGGTCCCTGGCAGGTCAGAGGTATAATCTGAATGTGTAACAAAGCTTGATAATCCAGAGGTCTGTCTCAGAGTTCATCTCCGAGCATGAAATTAATTCTGACGCTATGAAATGGGATTCTTATCTTTCACTCTGGGGGCTCGTGGTCCCCGTAACATCCGCTTCCTGGGTGCATCTTGGGTCCTGTTACCACGTCTGGCACACAGGCAACGGAGAGGAGAATTCTGGGATCCCCCTCAAGCGTTGTGGACCCGCTAAAGTAGCATATAAGCGATCTCACAGAAATGGCCTTGTAACTTGATCTGACTGGGGCAGAATACCACAAGAGGCTTTGCGTCTGAATGAAGCCACTCTCGCCATCGATTTCTTGTGTGAGTATCTCTATGAAACTGACCGAAGAAAACCAGAAAGATCATATTCAAATCGATGATATCGTTTTGTGCCAATCAGGACGGGGCAAACTAGGAGAGAGCGTGACATATTTTTAGAATTTTGTTTTTTTATGGCTTTTCACAAGTTCTTGACAGAGTGGTCCCCATGACAATAGCCTCTGGTAATGCTGCTTGGACTGAGCACAGACTTTTACAATTTGCATACATCTGGACCACAAGTAATGGACGAGAAAGCAACCAGGGAAATAACACTGACTATTTTTGCACTGAGTGGCAAAGGGTTTCAGTCTGCTAGAAACTACAGATGATGAATGTCTTTGTCTCCTATTTTATCTCTTCGAGTTATTCAGTCAGATTATTTGAGTCAAGCTCCCCGCATAAAAAAATATTAAAAGAAAACTGCTTTGTTTTCAAGGTCTTACAAAAAGTTATATCTAATAAATACAGTCGTTTAGTAACTTTCCACACAACAAACTTCCAAAATGGTTTTAACAGGTGACTTAAACCTAGAGTAGCAGACTGGAACCCCAAAACCACATGATCACTTACCTTGAAGCTTCCATTAAATCAAGTAATATTTTGTTTTGTGGTGTTGTTTTGCTTTGGATTGACTACTTTATGACTTCTCTGACCTCAGTATTGAGAAACCAATAGTTGGTTGCTCACATCTGCGAGAACAGGGACTCGTGAAAAAAAAAAGCACAGAAACACTAGGAACAATGGCAGATAAAAAAAAGCCCTCAAATAGTGAAATAGGAAATACTAGCAGTCAAACAAATTAATTCTCCCTCGTGTTTGCTCAGTGAGAAAGTGGATGTCAATGTTATCAGCATGCAATGCTGTGCCTGCTGTGTCAGAGTTGCTTGTGGCAGTGCTGGGCTGGAGTTCAATGAAAAAAAAAAAAAAAACCCAACAGCCAACAAAAAAATATCAGCAATTGTGCAGTAATGTCAGACCAATATTCTTTCAGACATCCCTGAAAGGAATAGAAGTGAAAATAAAACTCTGAATAAAAAAATAAACAAATCAAAGAAACTGTTTTTTAAGAATCATAATAAAAGGGAAGAATATACAAAGTGATGTCAAGCCATTCCGAGGAGAGCTGAGGAACGAGCAGTCGAAGAGAGAGAGGGACAGAGAGAGAACTGGAACAGTGTGGTGAAAGAAAAAGAGAGGAGTGAGCCCCATCCATTCAGTTTACCGTTAGCACATTCGAACAAATGCAAAAAAAAAAAAAAAGCGTGAGGAAGAAAACCCAACACACCAACTGGTGAAGATGTGCACAGATACTTGAGAGACGCCAAGACATAAAAATGCAGTAGGATGAACTTTTCATGCTTGAACTGATCAAAGATCAACAGTGCAATGATACTTTCTCGACAACAACACCCCCTCTGGGCCTGAGTGAGTGTCACATGCAACTGGCACTCTCCTCAGTGACTCTGCAGGGTCTGTGCAGCCCGGCTGCAGAGCGGTGACACAAACAACAGTGAAGTGGTTGTTCCAAAGCCCCCACAAGCCCTGATGTGGGGGGACACAGCCCACAAGTTGCACTGGTAGAAACAGAAAATGTGTTAAAAGAAGGGTTCATCCTCACCACCACGGCTCCATTATGTTCCAGTCAACATTAAATGGGGATTTATCACCTATTATGTTTGCTAAAATGCGTGCAGCTTATTAACAATGAATATAAACAGTCTGGGACTAGACGCCTATTTGTATTTTTTTTTATATTCCATATCACCAGGATTCACAATAAGCCAGCCATAATCCTGCAAATCCAGCTTCATTTTACAAATTCTTCACCATAAATGTATTGAGCGTTAACACACAACACTGTTGTTAATCTTTATCGGCTACGTGAATCCAAAATATATAAATTCCAAGCCTTTGTCACGACAGTCCTGCATATATGATTGTTTCTTTATCTACACCAGCTACTGTGCACTATGATATAATCCCTGCTATCTTTAGCTGGTGGTTTTAATAATTCACTGGTGGTCATGCCATTCTTTAAATAAAAAAAATAACATGTGTTGACAAAAAACACCGGGAAAAAATCTAGGAGCTGGCAGTGTGAGAACTTTGGGTCAGCAGTGATACTAATGTTTTCTTTAATAAAAAAATAAAAATGTCCATAGTAGAGCCTTGGTGGTCTGAGAACAGCATAAACATTTTTTGTGTCTTGGTGACATGAGAGAGAAAGTGCACTTGCTGTGGACACAGGAAAAGCAAATATGGAGCAAGGTGAAAAGGAAATAAAGACTCTGCCAAAATCGTCTGGTGTTTGACAGAGAAGTTTGGTACTGGAGTCATGTCAGGCAATACGATTAAAAAGTCTGTGGACTTGTTACAACCTCAGCTGCTCAAATCTCTTCAAATATACTAAAAGGAGAATTCATAGCTGTGCTGTGAAAAACAAAATCAAATAAACCAAGCATTTGATTAAGAATTAAATACATCACATGAGTTAATGGGATCCACAACACAACCTCTTATGTTCTACAAAGACACAAAGTCATGGCACTGCTTTCCTGGGGAGAAAATTCTTTTGTTAGCCTAAGCACAGATAAAACATGAGAGCGGACTCAGTAAGAAGTTTACATACTGGCTTGCAAGGTCTTCTGCGATACGTCATTGGTGAAGGCTCCGATGCCTTTGTTTGAAATAGCTGCCAGGGTGAATTGGTACTCTGTGTTCGGTTGCAGCCCCTCCACCACGTACGAGGAGGTGGGTCCAAATGTTTTCTTCATTTGCTGAAGGAGATAGACAAGGTTATGCTTTTTCAGTATATGTTTTTCAAAATGAGTGTGTTTTTTTTTTTTTTGCAAAAATCTAAAAAAGTGTTTTAACCGTGTTTTTACCTGGGAGCCAAAGCTGACTTCTGAGTAGCGAAGTTCATAACTTATAATTCCTTCCTTTTCATAGGCGGGTTCCCAGGTCAGTTCGATGCTGGTGTCAGCCACAGCACCCGGGCGGAATTTGGAGGGTTGACCTGGAACTAAAGCATACAGAGTAAAGGTCATCAACTTTATTAGTTAAGTCTTATTCCCCCACAATTCCCAGTTCCACCTTCATGAATGGAAACTAACATATAGAAAGAAAAGAACATTTAATAAGTCATTCAAACAAACCAGTTTGTTTGGACCAGTTGACCAGTTGTTGTCCAACTCTGCTGATTCTGCTGGTGAAGTTTGACTGTGGTTTTTTTTTCACAACATTATAATCACACAGAACTTTGTCACTGTTTCCTGAGGCTGCAGATGTGCAGGCGACCCTCGCACAGCAGGAACGATACTTTGTAGCATCTACCGTCTGTTTAAAGTTTCATAAAAATCTGTTGCTGAGAGATTCACCAGCTAAACAGTTTCATAATGGCTGTAAAATTCTGCTCCTGAAGCAAAGATTTGATCACAGACGCAGGTTTGTTTTCATATGAAATCTGGCTCAATTTGGTTATGCTGTTTTGTAAACACTGCACATTTTTTTGTCTCACGCAGAGAGTCAAGTATCACATATATAAAAATTACATTATTGAAAGAAAAGTTGGTCTCGTTATCTCACCTCCTTGCAAAACCTTGACGTGGATGGGCTCTGAGAAGGGTCCGTCTCCGACAGAGGTGAAGGCCAGGACTTTGATTGCGTAGGTCTCTTGAGGAACTAGACTTTGAATAGTAGTAATGATGCTGTCCTGAACATTGTGAATTTGCCAGAGGCTCATAGGCTGTGAGTCGTCCATGGTGTAATAAACGCGATAGCCCTTGATCTGCCCGTTGGGCTCCTCGGGTTCTTCCCAGCGCACCATCATGGTGTTCTGGGAAATGATCTGGGCCTGAATGTTCCGCGGTGGACTGGCTGGAGCTTGTTCTCCAGTCCGAGTTTCCACCGGCTCACTGGGTGGACCCTGGCCGATTGTGTTAACAGCCGAGACACGGATTTCGTACTCCGTGTTGGGGTACAGACCGCCGATGCTGTACCGCGTTGTGGTGATGTCATCCACTGTCTCGTACTTACTGTCTGGAGACTTAGCTCTGTACTGGATGATGTAGTAAGTCACTGGGTCTGGGTTGCCTGAGTCCCAGGTAATGGTCACACTGGTGGCAGTGGTTTCACTGACCACAGGTGTGCCTGGGGGCTTGGGGAGAGCTGTGGGAATGAATTAACAAAAAACAGTTGAATCTTTGTAAATGCACAGAATGTTCATCTCTGCTCAAGTGAATCTTCCCAAGTACTCCTTTAAACAAGGTCTTACATTTCACAGTGATCTGTGCCACTGCTTCTATGATGCCCAGGCTGCTCATGGCTACACAGGTGTAGTTGGCTGACTCACGAACACTGCTCAGTTCCAGAACATTTCTGCCCACCGGCATCTCATCCTCTGGTGTCAGGTCCTCTGAGTTCAGCATCCACTTGACGTAAGGCATGGGCGAACCCACTGCAACACACGTTATGTTCACACTGCCACCAGGCATAATTTCCTGACTTGTTGGTGGAATGGAGAAGCGAGGAGGCACCCGTCGGACTGGGAGGAGGCATGAGGAAGAGGAGAGGATGACAAAGAGGGCGAAGGATTAAAAAAAAGAGAAAGAAAGGTAACAAGTGAAGCTGATGAAAATAGACCCTTCTCAAGAAAATGCTTAACACAAAATGTTCCACATGTGAACATAAACACAAAGTAACAAAAGTAGGTTTTAAACAAAATTATACAAATAATGAAAAGGAACTAAACTAACAGAACTGCTTCAACAACAATATAGATTAACAGTAAAGCAACGATTCATAGCAACAAGGTTCCATTGACCAAAATTTGACCCATCACAGCACAATTAGAGGCACAAAAATCTATTACGAGTTTCTCATCTTTGAAACTGAACTGCTGGCTTCTACGTACAACTACGAAAAAACCTGATCACACTCAGTGTAAAGTGTAAAGGTTTATGGGATCAAGCTGTTACATAAGGCCAAGACGGTAACCCGGAACTTCCTGTCCTCTCTGGCTCATGAGCCAAACAGGAAGTAGGCCATTGCAGGCTTCTCCCACGGTCCAGGAAGTGAAGGGTTACAGAGCAGTTGACCATTACTACAAGGTCTCTTTACCACAGTCTACATCGTGTTTGTATTTGCCACCTATCTCTACTACCTAACTCTCTGAAAGATGAGAAACTTTAATCAGATTTTTGTGGTTTAGGGTAGATCCACTGGACAAAGCCTTATTAAGATCTGACACGGTTCCATTGATAGATGCAGCTATCAGTTTCACAGACAGCATGCATAAATAGACCGAAGTAAAATTAAGAAGTAAATGATAACAAAATTAGGTATAAAAAATTGAGATAAAATGCATAGAGGAATATAACTGAGGGGTCGCTAGCATGCCCAGACAAAAGACGATTGGAGGGAAGGGGGAATACAAGGTAGAGGAAAGATCGTCTCTATAGAGGAGAGGGGAGAGCTGGAGTAAAGACTCACAGAACAAGAGAGAGAGAGTGAGAGAGAGAGAGAGAGAGAGAGAGAGGGAGGGGTTGGAGGAGGGTACAAGGGTGGTAACCCGCTTTAATGCCATGTAAACTTAGTTTTCTTCAGCTAATGTGACAAAATGTGACGGTGGCACATTGTCACATCGCAGTCCCTGTCAACACAAAATACGTTTCGAGGAACAAGAAATGTGCCTAAAAAATACATAAAAAAAATAAATAAAAAAGAACTGCATTTGAACTGGAGAGTCTACTGTCACAGTGTTGGAGTCACGAAACAAATCTGGATCAACAGAGAGTAGAAATCCAGAAAACAACGGAAATAAGACAGAGGGAAAGAAAGAGTCCGATGGAGAAGGGGAGATGGACAGTGAGAGAGGACCGTGAAGCTCACAGGTGGAAAATGTCAGTCGGAGGAGACTGATCATGAGCCGCACAGGGAAGACATGACTGGAACTGTGTGCTGGTGTGTGTGTATATGAGATATCTTTGTGTTTTTGTATGTGTGAGTGTCCATGTACATGTACTGTATGAGTTAGCAAAAATATCGTGTGAGCATGAGAGGCATCCCAGCAAGCAGTTGACAAAATGTAGAGAATCACTAGCATTTGACAGAGATTATCAAGAAAAGGGGCAAAATCTATGTTTCTTGGTTTTATTCATTTATTCATTATGTAATTATTATTATTTTACACATTTTTAAGTTGAGGGAAACTCAAATGGTTCCTAAACTGTCCTCTTGTGTAGAACTATTGTCAACCACAGCTGTGGCTTCAACTCTCTGCATTTAACTGCATGTACAACACCACAAATCGAGGGCCAACCTAATGTAATAAAAATGTTATAGATGAAATATCACTTTACTCTAGGACATTTTCAGTGTCCCTTCTGCCTGACAGGACAAAGACAAAGACTTAAGTGTATTACCAAAAACCAGATGTAGGTTTTATTGTATTTTACCAATGCTATGGTTTGTGGAAAGGATTACTGTGAAGTTACTGTGAAGTTATCTGTGATGTGTCAAAATGTTTGTTGGGATGCACCGGAGGTCAAAGAGAGAGAGAAGGAAAGACGTAAATAGTGACAACCCTAAATGGAGGACATGGCTCAGACAGACTGACACAGGAACAAACCAGACAGAAGCAGCCGGACCAGAGACAAGTCAAGAAGAAGGTGCACACGAAGACGAGCAGACACACAGTTAGGAAACGGGGAAATGTAGACATACTGTACAGTACGCAAGAGGGAAGGGAAAAGGGTTAAAGGTGTCGGAGAAAGGGAGGAAGGGGGAGGAGGAAGAGGAGAAGGGCATAAGTGGGAGATAGATATTTAAAAAAAAGAAGCAAAAGTAACAAATAAAAATAATTCAAATACATGGCTCAAAGTAGTTTTGCAGGTCTCACACACTGGGGCTTAAAATCAAGAATCAATGGAATGTCCCCTCTTCCCCGCCTTAAACTTCTCGGTGCAAAGGAATCCTGAGAAATTCAGGAAGAGTGGATTTGACATGTGGTGAGCATCAGTGGGGACTGAGGTGGAAAAGTCTTAGGGACACACTAAGGGGATAGGAAGAATTCCAAAACGTCTGAATGGAATCCCAGGAAGAGTTTAAGAACCAAAGTAAGGCCTAGCCACACCTGAAGATTTCCTTTTTGGATAGTTAAAGTTTATTCAAGCCAGATTTTCTCATCCAGGTAAAAGAAATAGGATTATGTGTAGCATTATATTACTATATATATATATATATAATAATCACCTACTATTAATACTAAAGATGCAATAAAAAGTTTGGATTTTCTGTGTGTATCCTCTCAGTTCTCTAATTTACTATTAACGTCAGTTACGTTTCTACCTCAGATGGGAAGTGACCTAAGCTTTTTAGCAAAAAGTTCACAGCTAATACCTCAAAACTGTGTGGATGGTTATGTGTTTAAAATGATAAATTACTGTCCATAATGACAAACACTTCCATTACAGCTGATTAAAGTGCTGACCTGAAGGTTTTTTTTAAATTATTTAGAAGATTCAAGTAGTTATCAAAATATCTTTTTAAATAGTGAAAAAAATGGGGGAGCCAATTGTTTCAGCCAGATAAAGTATATCTCTGCATTCTGATTGATCAAAAATACCTCACTGAACAACAAAGGTGAAAGGGCAGCCCATTCCTCACACTGACATGCATGGGGGGGTGGCTATGGCATGAGTGACATATAGAGGTGTGCCCCCATCCACTTGGGCAGACACCTGAGAACCGGTACAATCCAAAAAAAATGTCACCCAAAACCCATCCAGGCATGCCATTCATTTCCAAATATAGCATTGATCCAGACACACACGCACAAAATGAAATGAAGGAGTTTAAAAAAAAAGAAGAAAAATCAACTCAACAATTCCACAAAAAAGAACTAAGTCCAAACAGCATAGACAGTACCATAGTGCAGCTGTGTTCAACAACGAGGTGTGCATACTATTAGATGTTTTTCAGCTATTGTTTGTCTCTGTCGGAATTTTGCCTCAAATCCAAAAGAAAGAACAGTGAGAGCTGGAGAGGAAAAGTGAATTTTTGGGGAACCCTTCAATCAAAGTGTGTTTGACGCTGCTCTTCTCTCCCAGGGGCTCGGGTCAGCCAATGGACCGGGAGCTGAGTTGGTTCAGTGAATGAGGTTTCCCCCACGGGAAGATGTCTCTGTTAACCTTTCAGTTCTAAGCCTAACGCTAGCAGTCGGGGGGAAAATGTAGGGAGAAAAAGACCGGCCACATTCCAAACACCGGTGATATGGTCAGTAAAATCTGAAAATACACAGACTACTGAGACAAAAATGCAGCGAGAAGAGTCGAGTCTAACCTACTAACAGCATGCACCTGGGGTCTAAGAGCTAAGGAATGTTATTTTGGTCAGAACAAAATAAAGGTCAGATAATAATACAGGAAGTGAAAACAGTCATCTTAAAACCGCAAAAGATGCTGTCGGAGGACAAGGAGTTGAACAAATTACCAGGGAATGTGTTGAAAAAGCTCTTATTAAACTATGTGACCAACAGGTCAAAGGTCGGTCATCTCCTACAATCCTATTCTGCCCAAACATTATTCTGTGCAGGGTAAATAAAACGAAAAAAAAAAAAACCCTAAGTGTTTGGACAGGCTCCTCATTCACAGAGACCAGGAGCCCAGCCGGCCCATTTGGAACTGAGAGAAGGCTAAAAATCAAAGTGTGTACCTTTTATTTGAACCAATGAAAACAACGTATACTCTTGTTTCAAGCCCCAATGTGGAGAGAAAGACTAAGAGCCTTAAAATGGACGAGGTGGAAAGCAGTCGAGAGAGAACGCCAGAATACTGCACTAACTACGGCAGGAGATCAGTGTCGTGTCATGGAGGGATTTGTGCCAAAAAACAGAGGTCAGAAGGTGGACATTATCGGCCATTTTGGTGAGGCAGTGGTTTTGCTGCCCCAAAATGAAGGGGTGGGGGGCGGGGAGCCAAAATAATGTGCAGCCTTTAGTGTCACCTTGAAGCTGAGATTACACCCTCTTGCTGCCTGAGGACACAGGCGCAGTAAGGAGATCCTTTAGTCACACTCGCTGACTGAGGCCTAGGGCATTAACATACAAACTGTAGGGGTCGGTCTGCATTAACATACCTTGGCTGGGCCACTGCTAAACAGCCACTATGGGTGGCTCATCAAAATGGAAATTATCACCTGAAGAAAAACTGACAGGAATCTTGGCAGTGGCATCTAATATTAGGGAAACAGTGAGGTGGGGGGGATCTGGCGGCCTTTATTCTGTTTGCTTAGGGGCAGACTACAAGCTGCCCAATTATCCTGCAGGTGCGTCCACTCACTGTGGTCATCCTTCCAGAGATTTAAATTATTCGGCTGAGTGTGATTGTGTTTTTGTATTTGATCAGAAAGTTTGGAAAAGTTGGAGGGTTTTAAAGTCGGTATATCAGGACTCCTTGAGACAAACATCTAATAGAGATGGCAGGTTTGTTTTGCTTTGGCCAGTGAGAACATAAGGTGTAATCTAGCTTTCTTTCCCAACATTACACACAAATGCAGAGCAGGGCACGCATGCACATTCGTGATTCAGGCACATACCATTTCAGAAGACCAGGACATGCACATGCGTAAGTAACAACACGGTGTTTCTGCATCAGTGATTCTACACTATGTTTTTTCTTTTAGACCTAGTGGGTTTTCAAGATGCTTTTGTTTTTGCAATATTTGGTCAGAATTTTAATAAAAGGCAGCAAAAACCAGAGACTCTTTGGAGACTTGCTGTTTTAAAAAATGAACAGTGATGCCATATTGAAAAGGATTTTGGAGGACTATATAAAGGCAGAGATGCATTTTCTTGATAGGTCATAAAATAGATGATATTTTTGACCTTTGGCTAATATTTGACTCCTGAAACAAAAAAAAAGTCCAGCAGCTTAGATATAAAGTCTAAAAAAGTCTTTTTTTAAATTTTGTTAATTTGTGTCGGCTCGGTAAAGAATGGCTGTGAGTCTGTCAGATATATTTGAACTGCTGGTTGATGATTGACGGTGTTGTTGGTTCCAATCTTACCTACCTTAAGCTTAAAAAACACTCATCCAAGATTAGACTTAATCCCTAGAAACCAGCACATTTTGACAACCGCACAAACAAAAACTCCCACTCTCTGAGAGTCAACTTAGGGTATTTGCGTAATCACCACAGATATATTGAGCCACACCTTTAACCCCAAGCTTAAAACTTTTTCTTTTTTTTTTACAAATAAGACGAAGGGGATTCAGTTGAATCTGTTATGGAAAAACCCCAATTTATATAAAAGAAAACTAACAGTAAATGATGTTTAACTGTGAGCATTTCCGTGTGCCTTAACCAGTCACACAAACAGCAGTGACTCAACCAAAAAGTTCTCACTGCTGCCGTTAAGAAAGTATCTTTGACACCCACTAGGTAACGGTACAAGTGATTGTGTTTAGTTATTAAATGCTGCAGCATTAACAACACAACCAGGTCGGGCCGAATCACACGGTGACAAGTTGCTGCAAATGTGATCACAGAAACACTGGCTGTTTCCACACTTAATTCATTCGGCATTTGCATTTGCAATTTGAGAGTCAAGCGGCAGAGCAGCATCAGAATAAAGGAAACAGAAATTTCACAAACAAATGAGCCACAAAAGACAAACAAATTATAAAGGAAAAAAAGGAAAAGAAAAAAAAAACAGGAACTGAACAGAACCAAACGAAGAAAAACACACAAACACAACACCATAATCACAACACAAAGAAAAGTAAAAGAAAGGAAGGCCCAATGGGGTGAATCAGGTAAAATGATTTTTGGAGGGAAAAAAAACACAAAGAAAGAGAAACAAACAAAAGAAAAGACAAGGAATGCTTAAATAAAAGACCGTCAATGGCCAGAGGGATTCTGTACAGGCATGCAAGCGCAGTTACATTCTCCCATCATGCAACAGGTGCAGTTATTTCCACGTGCCAGGTTCATGACAACATGTGCAAGAAAGCTTGCATGTGCAGAAGCAATACCAAAGGATGCAAAACGAGAAAAGGCCCCACAATGCAAACATAAAAGTAAAATTAACAAGACCCGAGCTACTCGGGTTTGCTTTCATCATTTCTTCCTTGGAAATAAAGAAAAAAATTCTTTTACATTTAGCAGTTTGGTTCAAACTAATTAGTATTTTTTATATTCAAATTAGTCATGAATCAAGTTCTGCAATAGGCATATAACAGCTAGGAATTTTTCAACATGTTGAATTTTTTTCAAATGTGGGTTAAAAAAAGTAAAAAAGAAAAAACACACCAACCTTCTCGAAGCTCTGAGGGATGTAAAGGGGTTGATGCAGAACACAATGACATGAGGAGAAGAGAAAAATAGGGGAAACACAGAGAGAGTAAAAAAAGCCACCTCAAGGTGTTTAGCTGCAGCTACATTTCCCTTCTCTTTCATATGTTTTTTTTAAACTTGATTTTTCCTTATTTTAACTTGTCCCTAGTATCAGTCATACCCGTCTTGACAGCACAATTGTCTGACCCTTTTATTGTTTTTTTTTTTTTTACATTAACTTTGAACCAAAACAATTAGATTCACCCCAGCGGCCTCACTCCTGCCTGGTAGGAATAATATCGTGAGGCGACACTGAAGTCAAATCAAGCGTACCATATTCAATATTCAAATTTCTTATAAGTCTCTTATATTCACAAGGACGGGCTCCTGTGGTTGCTTTATTTGCTTTTTGTTAGAGAAGGAATCCAAATAAAGAGAAATTAAGAAAAAACTAATGAGATAGAAAAGTAAAAAAAAGACACAGTTTGAGCTGAAATTAGCAGCTGCAGTTTCAGTCCGTGACAGTTAAGGTTTGCAGAAGCCAATTACTAACACTGTGATTATGGTTTATGTTGGGTACTTTCATTTTATGGTCTCAAATTACCCTGGAAAAAGATACCACACATGCAATTTGGAATATTTGCTCCGTTTTGGGATTTGGAATTTATTTTTGTCTAAATGGTGCACGCACTGCAGCTGCTAATCTCGAGTGCAATTCGCTTTGTGATCAAAACATAGTCAACATCAAGTATCAAAATTGATTGACAAAAGTTAACTGAAAACAGACAAAGGTTTGACACCATCAAGGCATAACAAGTGTGCTACATAACGTGAAGGGACCCCAGGAAATTATGACCCTTGTGTGCTTGTTTTTTTTTTTTTTTTTTTTCTCAAGCATGCTGATGGAGCCACGTTTCATGGAGACTACATGAACTGCTGTCGATGAGATCAGGGCACGGCTGTGCGTTTTCAACCATAAAAGCCACTAAACATCCTCATGCTGTGTCAACAGAGCGTTCCCAGTATTGTTATATAACGACTCCCGTAGAGCTCTTGATTATAAATTTGCACAAAACCTTTAATTTCTATGTCGTACAACAGCAACGTGGCGTTAAGCGCTGCTACGTGACAGTGGAGACAGCGTGATCCTCCGCGACAAACGCAGGCGAGAGGAGAGGAGACACTGATGTTGATGCAACGCTTTTTTTTAACCATCTACTCCTCACTGCTGAGTTTTTTCTCCCCTACACTGCTACCTCACAGGGTATGATAATAGTAATAATAATGAAAAAAAGGAGCTCCCTGACCCATTTTATAATGTCAGAATGCTGAATTATTTATTATTTGGTGCACAGCAGAGGGAACAAACTGAGCAGATACCGAGGCGTCTTTACTTAATATGCAGAATATAAATAAAACATGTTGAAAATGCATCTGCTTCAATTTAATAAACCCCCTCCCCCAAACTGGGATTTGCTGTCATTTAACACAAGTTGTCGGCCCTGTGCTAACTGCTAACTATAAAACTCAACTTTCTCTTTGACTGAGTGCTCCTCATTATCTCCGCTCTGCAGTTACGTTCCAGCCAACAGGGGACATACTACAAATTTCAGCTCCAGAACTCGAAGGGGCAAAGTTCAGAAGTGAACTATTTTTTTTTGTAAGCAGCTGAGAGTGTAAATTCTATTGACCAATCATTACCCACAAGGAAAGATACTGAACCTGGAAAAAGTTACAGGGATGAGATTTTGATTGTTGGCCTTTAATACCTTGCCATGCAATCAAAATCAACACTTACCGTCTTGTTTTCCGAACCTGAAAGCAAATATTTCAATAAAACCGCCTTCTTTTAAGGTTTCATGGCTTTAACGAAGGGGAAAACATTTTTTTTTCGGGCACACATTTACATGTTTCACAACCCAAGACATACGGCTTGTTGTGCTACACACTTCCTTCCGAGTGAGTAGGGGAGGGCATTGGAAGACAAAATGGAGCATCATAACAGAGAAGAACATTAGTTGGTCAATTATAGTTTTACATTTAGACGTTTCAGTGCATGTGATATTACAGCTATGTGCAGGCAATACTATCAATGCTTAAAGATTTATAGTTCTATTTTGCAGAACACTGTGTGCATGTAGATCTGAGCTAGAATGGAAGCAGTTATCATTTGTCAAGCTCAACAGTGATGTCATTTAAAGCTGAGCTGCAAATTTTAGTCAGAATGGGTGGATGCCTTTATTTGTTTATTTATTTTTTCTTTTAGAATCTGGCCTGGCTCTGGGATCGGGCTGCTCCCTACCTCGCACATAAAGGTTAGCGGGGGACGAGTAGCGCACGCCTTCCACATTAGACGCTACGCACTCGTACTTCCCCTGGTCCGTCTCCTCGCTGTTCTCGATCTGCAAGGCACCTGGGAAATGACAACATCCGACAAAGACAGGACAAAGAGAGAGAAAGAGAGAGAGAGAGAGAGAGAGAGAGAGGGGAAATTATTAGTTGACCTGTCAGTGACAGTTTATCGGGAGTCACAAAGTCTTCTTAATGAGGACTTTATTGAATTTCTCAAGACTATTTCATCAAGAACTCCGTCTCCTTGCAACGCTCTCAGGAAGTGTTGTAGTAAACAACCGTCTCCAGCCTTAGACACATCGGAAATGAAATAATAAAAAGCAACATTTACAATCCAGCTGCTCATGTAAGGCTTTCTTAATGTTAGAAACACTGGATAAAAGAAAATAGATACAATTTAGGCCAATCTAGTGTCGTGTAAATCTACCTAAAAGAAGTCGTGTTGGGCTGATGTCAACAACGAAAAAACATTTACCTTAGCCCTCTGTTTACAAACCTGACAAACAGGTTGTTAGCTGCTTGTTAGCATTTACCAAAAAGCATCAATACGCCAAGCCACTTCCCAGGATGCTCTGCAGTATACCATAACCCACTCCATCAAGCCAACGAGCAGAGAGAAAACAACGTGTACAAGGCTGCCATTCTGGACCATTGGTTTTATAACACTTTTCAGCCTGGGCTGCAAATTAGAACATCGATCCCGTTTAATTATAAAGATTAGTCACGCCTCCTCCTTAAACACAGCTGAATGCTATCAGTGTATTTTACACCTCCAAGTCAGTGTATCTTCCACTGAAGAAAAAGTGAAATGGCAGTAAGGTAACGACAACCCCGATCTGCTCTCCGTGTTGTTGAAAAAAACATCCACCCTGCAGAGGGCAGGTGGTGGAGTCTTCACTTCTGTGTTTGTGCAGGCATCTGATTTGGATCTGTCTGATGTGCCATTGGACCAGCAAGCACAAGCGTGGTGGCAGGTGCAGTGGAATGTGCTCAGAAGTCGGCGCCTCAACACTGGGGAGACCACAAAGTGAAATGTGTGAAGTTTAACTCGAAGTGAATGATTCAGGAAACTGCTGCCAGCAGGTCCCCTGCCTCGGTCCCTGTGATGAGCGAGCGAGTCATTGGAAGGCTTAAGTTAAAAATCGACCAAGTTTGAGTTTCCTTCACTTCATGAACAATAACATCATCAGGTCAAAGATCCCGTTTGTTGACTGCTAATGAACTGGGGAACCGCAGTAAACGTGATACATTCCATTTGTTTTTAATTCCTCCTCTTTCTTTTGCGAGAAACCTTCGATGATTCCGACACATGCGAGCATCTGCATCTAAAAATAATACTTCACAAATGCCACGCCACGGTCAAGAAAACAAAGCGACGTGACAGATAATGAGCCAAACAACATTAATTGAGAGCCAATTAAAGCAGAGAGTGCTGTGAACTGTTCCTTCTGCAGGAAGAAAGAACGAGAAGGAAAAACACAGGAGTCTTTAAAGGAATCGAGCGAGTTTCATCTGTTCCCGCCAGCTATGGTGGAGGCACCTTGCTAGGTGGGTATTATCTATTGTCTCCAGTTCCCCACTGACTTCATTTTATATTCTTGCTATTATTTCAAAGAGGAATTTGTGATGAGCACATTCTCCCTACACTCTCAGAGCGCAGACAGGAGAATAAGTGAGAGAATAGGATGAAAGGGAGGCAGAGAAGAAGCAGGAGGAAGAAGTAAGGGGAACTTATGGGATGGAAAAATAAAGACATGCTGTATATGTTTCTGTTTTCCAGCCTTAGCTTTGTTACTGTTACGATGCCTCTGCTATAAATAGCAGGAAGTAAATATGAGAACAACCTCTGGGTTCACCATGGAAAATGATTGTGAATTCACATGATGTGATGTTACGTCACATACTGTACAGAAATGAGCCTGTTTCACATAAAGAACTAAAAAGCAGAAATGAGCCTGTTTCACACAAAGAAGTGAAAAGAAAACTAAAGAACTAAAAATAAAACTAAAATTCTCCTGACTCGCCTCCGAGGGTCACCACTGCCTTTGTGTTGGCAACATGACTGTGTCACTGTTTCAATCCATTCTACAAGGAGTTGATAATGGGTTTATGGTCTGAGACATTAGTCCCGACCTTGACAGCTGCCCTGGTTAAAATGACTGCACACCTCAGACTCTGGTTGAGCACGAGGTGAGATAACGAAGACAACGATGTGCAGACAACTGTACTCTAAGGCAGTATGCTTTGGTTTTTGTAAATTTCACCGGAAACACTTCCAAGGATTATAAGTATAAGGAAAAATAAGTATAAGCTGTGGGAACTGGGAAAATGTTGGAATGAACGTCACCTTAACGTAATGGGAATGGCACCAAAAAGAAAGAAAAAAAGAAGAAAATCGTGACAGATTGAGGGGATAAAGACACGGATGATTAATTTCAGAGTGCCTAAAGCTGTGGTCTGCCCACTCCGGGCTCTGCTTAGTAACAGCTTTGCCATGTGTGTTCCCCCCCAGTCCCATTTGTGTAATTCAATTAGTGTTCTCCAGCGGGCCTTGATTGATTTGTTTAGGCGATCAA